GCGCAATTTGTTCTAAAAATAGAAAAATTGTCCCATATCATAGGTGCGCGCGGATCCCAAGACTTACGGTCTCCGTCCCCGATTATGGCTCCTGGTGTCCAGTGACATCGAATTGTTAACATACAGTATGCGTAAAATTATGCAGAAACCCTCCTCGTATCCTCTGTCATGTCAGAGGAGGCTGCTGTGACAGCGCTGCGCTGTGACACATTCCCGTCCCATAAGAAATGGCTGTGACACAGGCTCCCAACTCATACCCAGATTACCCAGAGCCCTCGTCCTACGAGATTGCGTGAGTTGCCTTGAGTTGCCAGTACGAACTAGTTTGCCCGTAGTCTCCTACAACACCAAAACAAGCCTAGCTTTCTTTATGCAGCACAGAAAGGACTTAATTATTCAGAAACTCGGGTTAATTCCCGTGTCGTGTGGAGGATACTTCAAAGAAACATTCAGATCGCCTGAAACGGTTCAAATTCCCGGACGAAAGGGGAGCGAACGAAATGTGTTTTCGACAATTTACTATATTATGTCACCTGAACAGGGAGGAAAAAACTACTTACACAGCAACAAGAGTGACACCATACACTATTTTCACGATGGATGGCCAGCATACTACATTCTTGTTTCTCCAGAAGGCAAAATTGAGGAGCATATCTTGGGGCGCGACGTTACGAAGGGTCATGTTCCTCAACTGAGAGTTCCCGGTGGTTATCTCAAATGTGGAAAAATCTTAGTCGATGAAAAGAGTTGTTCCTCATTTCCTGATGAAATACCTTTCACGTTGATGTCAGAGGAGGTTGCCCCAGGCTTTGATAGCAGAGATTGTTTTGTGCCTACAGAGAAAGAAGTCCAATCTTTGTACCCAGAGCTGTGGAACACACTGCAAGAGTACATAACACCAAAATTGGATACTCAGGTCAACAAAGACAATTAATAGAAGAACTAGTTATTCTCCTTACGATAAGTTTCCATGCAGCCCCCACGTCCATAAGCCCTCAGTTGATTATCATTAGTCCGCAATTAAAAGTCGATTCATTCCCCCCCCCCCTAACCCAAATCGTTTTTTAATCAATGTCGTTTAGAGCTTCTCTGAGAACTCATAAAATTATTCTTCTCTCGTGACAGGGTAGTTGTTGCCTCAAAATGCAATAAACAATAGTTATGAACAAGATTTTCGGAGTCTTACTCTCAATAGAAAGTAACACATACCAGCTACACACAAAGAAGAATATTCAGGTACCAATGGGAAGACTTGGTGAGCCACACCTCCCATAAGTGGACATCCTTGGGACCTTGTCTAGAGATGTCCACCCAATACAGAGTGTCAACTTAAAGGGGATACCAGTAAGCTTTGGTTCAAACTGGTTTGTAAAGTTTTAAGCAATGTCTAATACTAGTCGAATAGAAAATTCAACTTCTCCCCCCCTTTCCCCACCAGGAAACCGGCTATTAGACATTTTAAAATTTTCAGTTGGTGTAATTCCTTTTCCCTTGGGCAAAAATGGTGTTCAAATGCCCCCCTTAGTTTCTTACTATGCAATCAAATGCCCAGGCCCCCTATACATACAGGGGAAATAAGAAGCTTAAGTGGAAAAGGAAACAAAACCCTGGAACAACCGCTTTTCAGCTTCCACAGTACTGAATGTTCCCAAATAGCACAAGCATTGTTCAAACCTTTTGATGGCATTGTTTTTGATGTCCATTATATAAAGAATAGTGTTGTCTCTTTATGCCTTCAGTGAAGTACCTCACCATGATCTCAAGGCAATTTGTTCAAATACCCCCCCCCCTACCCCTCCCACATAGTGTCATATTCCACACCCCAAAATCAACCACTGATGTCAAGTTCCCACTCCCCTAGACAGTGAATACACAATTTTTGGGCAACTGGCATGGTCCACATAAAAATGTGATGCATCCATAACATTTGATGTTTTAAAGAGGCTCATTTTTTTTAATCCACGTTGCTTATTAGCAATAAAAGTGAAAATTATATCAAAGAAGCTTTAAACAAAATTGTGCAAGATCCTCTACAGCTTAACTGATTTCAAGATAATTTGCAGACAAAGTTTAGGTCGCGAGACAACTGTGTGCATCCAAGGGTAAACTATTGCAATGAAGCCTGCAGGAAAAGCAAATTACAAACATTTGGAACTTTTAGATTTTAGCTTTTCAAGCTTCTTTGCAGGTCATTGTTTAATCTGCAAACACAACTAGCCCTGCTAGGATCACTTTTCATGTTTCCTATTGCTGAAAAGAGAAATTAGAAGTTGACCAATAAATAATTACCGGTATTTTAAGTTTTCACTTCCATTTGCTTGCATGTAGACATCTACTATTTTCTTTCACACCAATAAAGTGAAATCTGGGAAAAATGGCAGGATACTGGAGCACATTTAGAGATGGCGCTTCCCACATGTCAATTCTTCCTAGTCTGTGTCGCAGTCACCCCCTCCTTCCATCGCTGCTCCCTCTATTACGCCTGCTACACAGGTTACTTCTTCCAGATGAAATTGAATGGTAGACTTCTGCAAGCAGGCAACATTTCTATCTGCCCTTTTGTTCTTAAAGTTAATCCAAACAAGCATTATTGTGAAAGGGGTTTGACAGAAATTGAATGGGAAAGTATACTGAAGATCCAAAAGTGTTCAAATGCGGCACCAAACTAGTGCACATGATTAGCAAGCTGTCTCATTCCCAGTTTCCACGCTCCTTGATAGGAACACCTGGCACTATAACCCCCATTTGGCGACTAAGAAGAGGGCACTGCCTGCACTTTAATCCTACAGAAAACAATACAAATAATTGATATCTGAATACCTTTGAAATGACTCCTGATTACGTGAACAAAAAAATGATTGTATTGGTCTTGCACATATTGCATATTTATATATCGTATGTCAACGGATATATAAATTGGGGCAGATTGTTCTCTTTTTGTTTCAACCATTTTAATTTGAGAAGAGGATGCCACTATAACAGCATTAAGTTTCTCCGTAATATATCTGTCAAATTTTGGGTGCTAAATAACCCCCTAGGCATATTTTCAGTTTTTAAGTCAAACTTTTCAGAGGGTGTGGTGAGGACTGGGCTGAGCAAAAGATCAATTGCCATGAAAGACCCCCCACGAAACAGCATTGTTAGAATTGACTGATGCAGCCATTATTCTATTCAGTCAAGGATAATTTAATTTACCATGAACTCTGACGAAACATAATTAGAGGAAGGCAATGAAATGAATAAAATAACTGGTATAAAAGTAAACGTTACAGCGAAGAAGTAAAAACCCCGGCGCAAATTTCCAAATTGTGTTGACTGAAATGTAGTTGACAGAGGACTTGCCAAATCCTAAAAGAGAGGTGGACGGATGGTTGCCTGGGAGGGAACTCCCATGTAGAAAGGACGGGGATGCTCCGCGGGAATTTTGAATAGAACCCCCTAAGAGGTACCAAGATCCTGTTTTGTGGGTGTGGCTTGAAATGATTTGCATCCCTAAGAGGTACCAATTCTAAAACAACACATTCATATCTCCTGTCATTTTTTTTATTTCAATACCCTAAAAGGTACTGCAAAGGCTCCCGCTGTGGACCTTCTAAGGCCGAACACCCTAAGAGGCATCAAAACCACGTTTTTAACTCCTAACAGGTATGATGAGCACCCCTGTACTCTTTATATGAGTCCCCCCCCCCCCCCCCCCCCCCCCCCCCCCCCCCCCCCCCCCCCCCCCCCCCCCCCCCCCCCCCCCCCCCCCCCCCCCCCCCCCCCCCCCCCCCC